TAGCGATAATGTGCATAAAAGTGTGCGAATACACCAATGCTGACACTTCAAATGCCCAACTTACTGCTACACACACTCTTTGAAACGCACACACCTCATGAGCCTGATGTGAGGCAGCAATCTAAATGGGAATATGGTCTGTGTGTGCAGCACACAGGCGGGGGTGAATTCCATCTAATTACTCTATCACATAATTTCACAAATTGCCTTTTCATAGGGGAGTGGAGAGCAGAGCACAGGGCGCGTTGGGGATTTGAGGCCTGAGCTTTCATTTACTACTCATTTCTTGTTAAATTAAACAAGAAAATACCATTTTTGTGGAGGGGAGGGTGAAGCTTAGGTGGGGCGGATAGAATGAGACTGCACAGTGGGAAAAGATTGTGCAAAGGGGGATAATAGAGCTGCTCCTTTATCTAAAGATTTGCTCTCTAGGTTGTAAATATAAAGATATGAGTTAAATAAGCCCAGAGTTAACACCAACATCTGATAAAGCACATCCTTATTGGTTCCTCTGGACCACAATAAAGACAATTTTTCTGATCAGGTGTGCTTTCACGATCACTAAACCCAAAACCGGTATATGATGAGGTCAAACACAAACAAGTAGCACAATGTAATAGGGAAACCTTTTTATCTTGGTCCCTTATGCAGTTTGAGGCTGCATGTCAAGCTGGCAGCAGGCTGCTTGCTTTGGCCATCATTACAGGCCGTTAATGTTAATGTTTTGTAGTCGCTCCAAGCCAGCACAGCCAAATTCTTGCACTGAACTCGTCCCATAAGCATTGCCGATAGCACATGAGCTCATTGGGTGTGTTGGAGAGAACTCTGAGTTACAAACGTTGTCATCATCACAAATTCAATACTGCTGCCCTGACTCTCGAATAAAGCTCTCTTCTCTCCCAGTGAAACCTGCAGCTGCCCAAAAGTACAACAGCTTTGAATGCTCAGATAACCAGTTTTTTCCTTCTGTGTTTCTGGAGTATTTCTACCTTTGCCCGGTACAGTAGTAGATGAGATAAGCACATATGATGGGTGAAGTGAGCACAGCAATGACTTCAACACAACAGTAAATGAATGGATATATAAAAGCTACCTACCTCTTACCCTGCTGGTGCACTCATAGCCCCATTTTGCCACCCACCTTCCCTTTCCGCCTCGATACAATGGGAACTCCCCTGAGGAACCAATTGTGAGGGCGACTAACATATAATACACTGAAGTTTGGAAGCATAACTTGTTCTGAAGTTTTAGCTGTTTTTCTGCCTATTCTGTTACTGAAATGGTGTCAAACAGAAATACCCCCCAAAAAATAAAAAAATCAACTGAAAGAAAAACTGACTGTGGTTCTGAAATAGTAATGCTTCTGCTAACATAATGCACCTATACAAAATGTTTTTCTTCGGTAAGTTGGCATTATTAACCAAACTAATGAATAATTGAAATGATGGTAGCATATAATTGTGTGGACAAATGAGACTGGTCTGCTGCTGCAATGCTAACCAACCCTAGTAAATGTAGGCAAGAAAAATAACATAAATCTTTAATTGAATCATCTCAAACTGAAGCACTTTTAAACCTTAGCCTATACAAAAATAATAATAATAATAAAATTCAGTATACAGAAAAAAAGTGCTTTAATCCAATCTCACAACTTCCCCTTTAAGCTCTCTATTACGAAGCTCACCCTATCAGGTTTGCCAGAAACTTTCAAAGAGAAACTGGGCCCAAAGCATCACACATCCTCCACCTTACTTAACAGTTGGAATTGTTTTCTTTTATACAAGTTTAAACCAATCGGTCTGATAATCTGTAGCTCATCCTATTAAACCACACAGTTCAAACTAAATTCTGAGCAGAATTTCTCAAACTCCACATATTTACCTTTATGAAAGCTGGACATCATTTTTCTTTTCTAGTAACACTCCTACAATGGTTGCTAAGGAGACTTGGTAACCCCATGATCCCACCATTTGCTTCACTTCTCTTCCACTGAGTGTAAGAGATCTGCCATTATTCCTCCAGCCTGCAGTCCAGAGACTAAATGAACCATACTCAATGAAAACTGAGAGTTATAGCTTTCTATTTAAAATTCACTATAAAACTGATCAACTTAAAAGGATAAAGTATAAATCATAAATGAAGGCTTGCAATGAAAACTTCAGGGAAATGATTCTTCTGCCACAAAAGAGGGATTGTTTAGAGATGTTGCTCAATTGATCTCAACTGAAAGTTTTCACTCCTCCCAAAAAGAGAATTTGAACCAAAACCAACCAAGTAAAATTCTTCTATTGCTGCGCCATATAGCAGCTACCCATTATATCCATTGTTTGCCAGCATATCTGCGTGGCTTGGTTCCACTCTCACTTTTTCGCCTGTGAGAAGGAGAGCTAAATGGATCCCTCCTTATCCCACTCTTCACCTCTTCGAGCCCATATCCAACCAACTGTTTGAAATCTAAGGATGAAGAAACCCCTCATAAGCCTGATGTAGGGCTGTAATATGACACAGAAGGTGTGTTATGCTTGTGTATATGCTGGGCTGTGTTTGAAAAGAGGATGTGTGCTGAAAAAAACCTTTCCTGTTTGACCCTAAAGGGTTTAAGGTGTGATTAGAGGTCAGGGAGAAAATGAGTGAAAAGGCAGAGCAGAAGGCTGAAAAGTGCAAGAAATTTTCGTCCCAAAAAAAATCTAAGTTTGATTACAAACTACATGCCAGTGTGTACATATGAGAAAAAATAAATAACTTGCTCTTTGCCATTAATTACACGGAGCCGAGGCATACACTGCACAATGCATCCCACTGACATCAAAGTCTGGCCACAAATAAATAAATAAAAAGTTAAGCCCATGCAATATCCACAATCCACAGCATCCTCCCTTTTGGCTTGTTCTATCCAAACCAAGAGCCACTCAGCCAAACTGTATCATGTTCTCCACAACTCCTGACATCAGCAGAATGCAAGTGACGCAGGGTTCGGAAAGTACTTTTAAAACATCTTTACTTGGAAGCGCTCTTAGAGGAAATGTTAATAAGCCTGTAAAGGGGAAAAAAGCAAACAGTTTCCAACTCCTCTCTTTGATTTAAACTAAACTTTGAACTCCAGCACAAATTGCCTTCATCTCAATTGAAAGATTTGGTAAACACTGGATTATATTTCCCTTCAATCCTTTCTAAAGAGGCATTAAGGATGTATTTATTATTTTAAGAGTTTTTAACAAATTTGATTTGAGTTGCTATAAAGTTTTATGTTTCAAATATCTTGATAGGCTACAGTATATAAAAATGGAAAAGCAATCAGAGAAATAATTAAGTCTTTAGCATTTGAAAGGCAAGTTCTGGCTTAAACTATTACAGTACTGCTTCAATATCACGAGCTACAGTATGTATACATAAACAGAAGTCCAAAATCAGATTGAAAAAATTATTTATATGGACATAAGTAATAGGAATAAAATGGCTGATTGAACTAAATGGCTAGTAAACATGTAATTTGGAATATTCTGATAATAGGTAGCCAGAGCACTCAAAGTGGAAATACATTACGTTGACGCAGGGTCAATATGCGCACCCAGGTCAACTCGCATCACTCAGAATAACTAGATCCTAAATAGTGTTTTCATGGCTCTTGGTCGGATTGTTAATAAACCAACCCATAGTCGGATAACAATATTATTCCTGCTGAATTTGATCAGAAAATTCCAAATGACATGTTTTGGTGACATATTTTTAGTCCAATCTGTATTTTATTCCGACTACTTAGGCCCACGCATAGGTAGTTACTGCTTCAGAGGCAATAAAATTTACTGAAGTTATTTAAAACACTTTAAGTCAATTTTCAGAAAGTGTTAGAAGAAAAATATTCCAAGGGAAGTGCATCACACATACGCACTCCTACCTAAGCAGATGACTGTATAAGCTATAATATAAGGTAGTTTTGTACGTTTGCATTACATCTCTCCATAAAGTAATTATTCTGTGGCCACAATTATGCTTTTAAAAAATTTACTTTTAGATTGTATTGTAGTGTGACTTCTGTCTGGCAGGAATCAATCATGCCACGACCAACAATCCAATGAAATGGAGATGGGCCCAACAATTCGAGACAATGTAGAACAGATAAACTCTATTTTCTACAATAGCACAAGAAGAATCTTCAAACTGATGTTGTTAGGGAGCAAGAGAGAGTAAACTATTAATCTGACAACAGGAAGGCTTAGTCTAGTACAGCCCATTTTACACTTTTGAGATTTCCACATTAGTCTGTCATGGTACATACTGGATTTGGACATTATTGGAGCCTTTTAATCCTTGAACTAGTATAAGGATCTACTTTAGGGTATAAAAACAAACAGGGCTGCTTTATTAACGATAGCTGTTACAAAAGCTGTGATCTGAAACCCGCAAAATTCTGACAGGTCCATTTCTAGATAAAATAACATAATCGAGTATGATTAACTGCAAGATTAGTAAGACTGGTTAACAAGAGGTTGTTTTGATCATTTATATATATATCCCTCTGAACTAAAGTCGAATTATGAGGCCCAAAAACGGATATATTTCCATCAAACTATCCTTGCTAGTCTACGATGATGACTGGATTTGTAAGTGAGGGGGAAGCAAAGCCAAGCCACTGTTCTTTGCAGCATCTCTTGCATTTGTAAAGTATTATAACTAGGTACTTCAGTCTATCTGCACAAACTGCCTGGGGTGTCTCTCCTCAGCTTAAGCCTCATTCTGTTTCAGTCGATGATCAGAGATCTCTCAAAGATTACACGGGACTCCGTCTTTGAAGTGCTCGCCCTACAAACTGAGCTACGCATTGGAGAAGTGCATCAAAATGCGGTTCAGTGTTGGACAGTGAGTGTGTGTTTCTCTAAGTGTGTTTCAGGTGTGCAAAAGTGTGCCAAATACTAGAAGACCAGAGTGAGAGAAAGACAGCTCTTTGCAGTGAAATAAGGATTACATGTGATATAATACAAATATTGTTTGGCTTAACTCACTGTTAGGTGTTGGAAGAGCCACGCTCTCATGATGTTGGTGGCCACCTTAGGAAAAATCCCCCTTTTCTTGTTGTGTTTCTTCTCTTTATCCGGGTCATCATCATCCCCTGTGCTCGGCGAAGCAACGCTGTTGTCCAGGCCATCACCTGTCACATGACGAGAAACAGGAAGAGACAGCTCCGATCAGGCACAGGGTTTGTTTACTTCCTGCAAATGCTTTGCCGAACGTTCAAAGGGAATAAATGTGATCTCGAAAAGGAATTCTGGAGGGCTTTGTCGGCACAGACGGATGGGTATGGAGCCTCGACAATAGCGAGCAGAGAATGGAGGGGAATCAGCACCTCATAAATGCATTCATTTTTAATACATTTATAAATAACCCTGCCTTTCATTTTTCTCCTGCCGTCACTGAAAACACAGTAAGCACTTGCATCCCTCTGTGAGAAAGAGAGGGAAGAAGGGGAAGCACAAAGGACTTGTAAGGTCGCATTTCCCCACTCTCCCATCCAAGCCCGTGCAGAATTGAAAATGACAGAGAGATTTAGTCTTTATTATCCTGAGGGGAAAATTGTTATTGAAGCGTCGCCCCAGCGCATTCTGCCATTTTACCTGAGGTGGAAAGAGTAACACGGCACTACAAAAGGCAAGGTTGCACGGACGGGGAGGCAGAAAATAAAAGGAAAAGAGATGGAAAAAAAACAGTCGGAGGCACAAACACTGCTAACAAAGCTAGCTGCTTTTCATAACAATAGCATCATGGCTGCTTACAGCTACCTGTAGGGCTTTGATAAGACTCTATTAAGGCCAGTTAACCTCACCTAAGGGGGCTACAGTGAGACAGCTTTGAGTATCTGAGCGTTAAAAGCCAATGTGAAAAGAAAGTGCTCCACGGGCCCTTTTCTCTGCATTCAGGATCCACAACATTAACTCTTGAACACAGATGCACACATATTCAGAGGCACCCAATTACTGTACGGATTCCATACAGCTCGAATGGAGAGAAAGTGGCTCTTCCCATCTGTGATGAAAAGCGTAATTGTTATTATCATTATTCAAAAACGCCAGGCACCCTGAATGAAGATGATAATCATTAAAGAAACATGAGGCGAAGTAAACAAGTGGCACCCTCACGCCTGGATATTCCAGCACCAAATAACCAGACTTTTGTCCCGCAATGCCTCCCCTGCCTTGAAGTGTGAGGAAGTGAGAGGGGGGAAAAGAAAATATAAAAACTGCCAAAGCAGTGCACCGAATTGGATTCTGTTATTTATTGATTACACGCTAAGCACTTCTAAAGCATCGTGGTTTATTCACTGTGGCAAGAGTTGAGAGCTGCACTGACGCAGGGCCGCCCCACTAAATTTCAGAGGACGACACCAGCACCTTGGCTAAACCCTGAGACCAGGTTCATTGATAATTAATGGCGATGTTGGCGCTAATCCGGTTGGAGATGACTTTTTTCCAGCCTGCCACATCAATGGAATAATCAAGGGCCTAAAACCCAGGCCTTTGCTCCCCATTACCTCAGGCAAAAGAATTCCTGAAAGCATGCCTGGAGGGCACCTGAATTATACACGCCATTAGGAGAGAGAGCCTCTCAACAAACCAAACGAAACAACACACATGGCCAGCTCTCCCTCTCACTCCGACTGTGCTGGCAGAAGGAGATACATATGCGCACATATTAAAGGCTTTTTAATGAACCTCATGTGGAAGTGGAGGTGACGGCATGGGGGGTGGAGGGTGGAGGTAGGATAAAACAAGAGCTGCTTTGGCATTGATGTCAGAGCACTGATGCAAACACCACATACTGAGAACTGATAATGCACATATGAAGATCAAGCTTGTGGTTGGTTTGAACTAATGTAACATAATGAATAAAGGAGCCCAGCACGTTCAAACATTTACAATCATGCCGTTTCGTTTGCCAGTTTGTTTGTTTGTTTTCTCTCTATTCACTATTTAATGATTTGAATAAATATACATTGGCAAAATGACTTGTTAGGATTGATACTTAATATATTCGTCACATTTGAGGATTTTAATGTCTGATAAACGTAATGAGAGGATAACTAGAAAATGTAGTTTTCCAAATGTTAAAACTTGATTCCAATTAAAACAGGTATACTTTTTTAAATGTAAATATACATAAATATACCACATACAGTAGAAACTAGAATGAAGGAGTCAGGCTTATAGAAAGCCAGGGATTATATGGATTTTATAAAACTACTGTTTAGAATTCACAGGAAAAAAAACACTCCTATGATTTTCAATTATTTTAAGAGGATGCATGAAATGCTTCTCTGGAAGCTCTGCTCCACCCACACATGGCTGCACACTGCTAATCAGATGGCACAGCACATGTATACAGCTGACTATTTGAGATACTGATACTGAGATAAAGATACTGTAAAGTCATGAATAGGAGGGTCATCAGTGTTCATGTACACCATGTTTTTGGTTCATAGTCCCTGACAGTTTAAAGTGTTTCAATTCAAGAAAGACCACTGGGCTGTTTACAAAAATTTCAGTTCTTAAATAAGTTCTTATTTTGAACTTTAAGAACCAGAACAATCATAAAGATAAGGTAAAATGGAGTCTGACTAAAAAACAGCTAATATCACTTTGTTTTACTTATGTTACTCCAAAAAATTGCAGAACAGCAATCAGGTGCAACAGCCTGCAAGAGTTTTGTTTACATCCATAAGTACAGAACAACCTGGTACTTGTGTCATCACATTAGGGCTGTTGTCTTAATTTAGTTTCATTTTGAAAAAAAGTTCAGTTCTATACCAAATTTTTATATTAGTAGCACTTTATTACATTTAAGGAAATAATAAATAGTATTTCTACATAACTGAATGAAAATGTCTTTAATTTCTACTTTATTACTACTGTTTTTTTGTTTGTTTTTCGTCATGAACTTGGTGATTTTATAAGAAAAACACAAGCAAGATTTAAATACTTTAATAATAGTTTTGCTTGGTCCAGAATCTAGACCAAGATAATATAGGTCTAAATTAGTTTTATACATAACAAGGTTGACTCATGTCTAAATGAGGTCTCATTGTAACTTCAATGTTAAAATCCAATGTATTGCTCAGGGGGTTGTTAACTACAGTCTAATTAAATCAGGTTTTACTTTATGTTTTTGTGCTAAAATACTATTCTTTATGTGTTTTATTTTATCTTTTTCAAGGTTAACGTCGCTTGAGAAACTTACCGTATACTGACCCATGCCTAAAAGAAAACGTTTTTTTCATTTATTTAACAATCAATTACAGTTGTTCAGCAACTGATCCATTAATTGATTAACAAGACTTTTCAGCCCTGTGCTCCACAAGCAAGCACACATTGAGCGCATTATACAGCTTCTGAACCTCTCTGTGTCCTGGAAACACACTCACATTGCAAGCTTCAGTTACATCATTAGCCTAGGACAAGCACCGTCTGAGCCCAGTGAGTAAGTTCAGCTTTTTCTTCCTACTGTTTCAGGGTAAAAGAAATACACCCTCCCCTTCGCCTCCCTTTCCAGCTGCCTGCTGGAAAAAGACGGGTGAGCCGAGTCGGGGCCCTGTAATCTAAGACCAGATTTTCATTGGAAGCAAATGCTTTCAATCCGTTGTAAAGACCGGCTCAAGTTCAGCAAAGCCTACAATAACAAACCTAGGGGCTCGTCCTGTACGAGTTAGGAAAACAGAGGCTAACGGCCGGAGAACCAGCTCAGAGCGGGAGTGAATGTGCCACTAACTCAGGAAAGAAGGTGAGGTATGATAAGACGGGCGGAAGCTTTAGGAAATAAAAAAGAGAAACAAAAACACTGAAAAATAAACTCAATATAAACAGCTTCCTTTTTCACAATTCTTTCTCCCACAATCCCAGACAGGGAATCACTAACACATTCCCATCCTTCTTTACACTTCTAAGACTGACCTATGGACACTCAGTTTACCTAGAAGGGGATCAACCATCCATAGGTCAGACTTAGGAGTGTACATTTACTTTACCTTGGAGGAAAAAGAGGCAGAAGGCCGCAGGTCTATTGGCAATTCCATTTTCACTGCAATTTGAAACCAATCACCTCCACAAGGTCTGGGGCTAATTTCTGCTTCTCTTTACCTAACAGCACAAGGGAAGTCATGGTGGAGAGAGAGGAGGAAAGGCTGAGGCAGGAAAGGTGCTGAAGCTGTGTTTCAGCAGCCATGCTGTGGAAATGTCAACGGTGTTACCACAGCCTGTCAAGCAGACAGAGGCTACACAACAGAGCAGAAACAAAGGAGAGTTAAAGGGTGAAACAGTGCAGGAAAGGATAGAGACAGAGAGGGAGAAGCAGGAGGGAATGTGCAAATTTAAGCCACTCACAGAGGCAATGAAGGGGGAGAAAATAATGAGTAGGAAGCTGCGAAAGGAAGTTAATCTGAGGAAAAGAGTCCAATGTAGAGCAGTCCGTTGTTGTTACTTGAAGATTATCTTGCTCTGACATCCAACACAAATGCATAAGAAAACAACTATTTAGAAAGTCTGTAACAAAATAAATAAAACTGATAAAAGCTGCTTACCCACATGGAGAGTCATGATAATGGACATTAAAAACAATAAGGGGATTTATTAAGGTCCTCCAGGTGATTATCGCTTCAAACCCTTTTGAAAAATAGCTTCTATGCAACATTTGCCCACAAGGCAGAGTTAATTAATTTACTTTTTTTTTAACTTTTGATGGCTGTAGCTCATCTTGAATACATCATGCAGAGAAAAGAAGAAAGAAAAATCCTCTGTGGAGAAAATATCAGATTTTCACTTAGATATATAAAAGCTTTTTAGTGTCCTAATACATGGTATACTGCTAGAGTCTGGTATTTTTACATATGTGCTCACTTCAAGCTTAAAGATGCCTCTTGGGCATGCTCAGAAGATCATGTTATTCATCTAATCTGAATTTTCTGTGACATCATGTATGAGGTGCAAAGTGTTGAGTAAAAAAGCTACAAGGTCTTCCCTGAAAGTGAAATTGGGCTTGTGAAGCACCATCCAGTTAGTGTCAGCATGGCTTCCTCTGGTGACGTAAGTCTAAGCTATTTTTAAAAGCCCCAGATTTGAAGGTGACTGCTGGAAACCATGTAATCATTTGTGTGAAGCAAGAGAT